GCCACCCGTCAGTGAAAGGCAGAGGGTCCTCCACACTGCCACCCGTCAGTGAAAGGCAGAGGGTCCTCCACACTGCCACCATCAGTGAAAGGCAGAGGCCTCCACACTGCCACCCGTCAGTGAAAGGCAGTGAGATCCCTCTACATACGTACCAGGGTACTTACAACTAGGAAGGCTGATGACACCAAGAGTTGCCAAGAACATGAAGCAACTAGAAGGCTCACACATTGGCGGTGGGGTAAATTGGGGTAAGATTTTCATAGAAAATTGGTATTCTACTAAAGCAAGCGAACGCCTGCTCTCTGACCAGTAATCCTGTGCACAAGTGTCTACACCCCGAAGAAAGGGAGGCACACGCCAGCGGCACAACACACTGGAGCCCAACTCCTCCTACCCCAGGGTTCAACTCGGGATGACTGGGAGGCTGACACCACCTCACTGAAGTCTGCCTTATATGATAAGGAATTTCCCACTTGACTATTCCATACAATTACATACGCATTGACATTTTGAAACAGTAATCACACTTCCAGGGACTCACAACTAGAAACAGAAGATATTTATACTCGTTACATGCAATCACAAAATACTGGACACAGGACACTGGCTGAATACCGTGAAACATCTATTTTAAGGCAGCTACGCAACCATTTTTTAAAAATGAGGAAGATCTCTATGAATTTACATGGAATAATTTTTAGGAGATACAGTTAAGTGAAAAAAGCAAGTTGTAAAAGAGTATGTATAGAATGCTGCCTCTTGTATAAGAATGCAGGAAAACAAGAAAAATATGTGTGCTTATGTCTATGTGTGTGTCACATGCACATCCCAAAAGGAAATACAGGGTGGAGAAGACAGAATCTAATGAAAATGCTGATCTTTCTAGAGAGTGGGTAGGACGAGTTGAGAGACAGAAGGGAAGTTTCTGAGCACACCTTTATATATAACAGTTACTTACAACCCCATTCAGGAAATAAAACGGAAAGGGAAACCTTAAAATTGAAGACAAAAGAAAAAACAAACCTAAATGGATATCAGAAAAAAGAATATAAGTAACCTTTGAAAACAGTACTTTGTGGGATCTGACTCTCCTTATTCTAAGGACGAAAAGACTGCAAAAAAAAAAAAAAAATCCTGAATTTCAACATCACTGAGTAGACGTTGATGGTGGCACTGGGGCCCTAATCCTGAACTGCTTGTGAGTGCAGGGGGTAGTCGGTGTCACCAGGACCACAGTCGTAAGAACGGGCAACACGGACACAGAGCAGGGGAAGTGAGAGTCCCGTGGGATTTGGATTGGAGGTGAGTAGGAACTTTATCTTCCGCTGAAACCATCTGAAGACCGCCAAGCTGTGCTCACAGGTTTTATGCCTTCATAAGAAAATTACAGCCATTCAGAGACAGCCCTCTCCTGCCCGAGTCCATGCAAGATCACAGGCTGTGGCTTAAGGTCACGTCATATCCCACCTCCTCACTAACATTTTCAAAGTCACAAATGGGTGCAAGATGACTTGGGCCCAAGTATTATGAAAACCCTGTTACAAAAACCAAGTTTTTCTTCATAGCCCGGGCTGCAGGCTTAGGAATTTCATCTGAAAGGTAGATAGAGGGATACTAAGATCCTCAACAGTTTAGGGGAAGGGATTAGGTTTCCTCTTTAAAATGACCATGCTGGAGATCAATATTTTGCAATCTGAAACACTGCATTTGTCAATCATCATCAACAAGCTGAAGGTGGCCCAAAGAAGACAACACTGGCATCCGCCCATCCTCTGCAAGAGGCTTTCCAGTGTCCCATGACCACACTCTGCAAGAACATACTGGTGCTCAGCTCCAAAGGGGCCTCATGTGGCTCCCTCCAGATCACCTGACCAGGTGCAATGGAACAGCACCTTCGAAGATGAGGGAGGCAACTGCCTTGGCCAGGCAGGCACATGGGGTCTTCCCTGCTTGCCCTCCCATCAGTAGCTGGTCCTGGGCTGGAAGGCAAAATGATGGATCCTGCCCAGGTCTTGGTCTGCAAGTCCCCCAAGAAAACCAGTATTAGTCAATTTAGCCCCAGTGAGGACATAAAGTGGCCCTCTCTGTGCCATGTGGGCAGGCCTAGCCACAGGAGCCCCAACAGACTCTAACCGTGCTCAACTAAGGTGCGTCTGGCTACAAAGTGGTTCTGGAGCCTGCTGACCAAGCTGTGCTCTCCTTGGCTCCACATGAACAGGAGGTTCACGCTAAAGAGTTCCCCACATCCACCCCTGCCTATGGTTGGAAGCATACCGCGTCCTGCACTGTGCTATCACTCGCACCACCTATGGGTGGCTGAGGGCTTTGAGTCTCAGACTGGAGCAAGCACTGTGGAATGGAAGCATACTTCAATGACTAAACGCACTGGGGTCACAGTGGTCACGAAGGGATCAAACCCTGGAGTCTAGACACCGGGTCCCTCCAAGGAGAGGTGGAGACCCCTGCCGGGGGCACTCACTGGTCACCCTCCTTTGCCTGTGACCTCCCAGGGTGGTCCCTGCACACATGCAGGGTGATATCGCCACATCCTCAAGTCACTCCACCACACCCACCTGGGCTGCACCCAGTGTCCCAGGTGTGACCTGACCGGAGGAGAGCTCAGTGCCACAGGGCCTTGAACCCAAGGAGAGCCCCAGCTTGCTTGGCAGGCATGAATGTGTCCCAAGAGTGGTCCTATCAATGCCCCTGCCTCAATGACTAAATTGTGAGAAGGCTGGGGGTGTGAACAGGAAAAGCAGGGATGGCAACAGACAGTACCAGCAACCCCTAAAGGTGCGACTGGCGCCACAGTGGACACAGGACCCCCCAGCAGCCCAGCCACCTGGCCAACTGTTAACATCTCATGCTGCAGAGACTTCAGCCCCCAATGGGACCACACAGCCACATTCCAAGTGAGCACCTTCTGAGCGGCACTCCCAGGCCTGGCTCACCAGGGGATGCTCCCCACTTCTGGTCCCAGGAAGACTTTCTTGTGGCTGCTGCATGCCCCTCACGCCCTCCAGTATGGTCCACAGAGAACGCATAACTTTTAAAAATGCAAAATTATGGCCGGATGCTGTGGCTCACCCTGTAATCTCAGCACTTTGGGAGGCCGAGGAGGATGGATCACAAGCTCAGGAGTTCGAGACCAGCCTGGCCAATATGGTGAAACCGGGTCTCTACTAAAAATACAAAAAAATTAGCCGGGCGTGGTGGCGCATGCATTGTGCTCGGAGTGAGAAGGGCGTTAAACAGCAGCAAGGACCCGGAGCGCGAGCCCGGCCTGCAGCACTGCCACAGCCTGGCGCTTGCCCCTCCATCGCCTCCTGGAAGTCCCTCCGACACAGCACCGCCCACACCGAGGCCCGGAGGCCTTCAGAGCCCCTGGGAGCGCGGCCACACATGCCAGCAAGAGACGGCAGCGATGTGGGGCCCCGCGCCTACTTCCACTGCGACGACTCCGCGATCCACGGACACCGCCCACGGCGGCCCTGCAGGGGAGACCCCGGGCTGCCTTCCCGAGCCCCTGCCGCCGCTGTTCGGCCTTTCAGTCGGCTCGCGGGAACCCGGACGAGGAAGGGGTGGCGAGGCGGGGAAGGAAGAGGCCTGAGGGTCCAAGGCAAGAGGAGACACGCGGGACACGCGGAGGGCCAACCACGCCGCCGCGCGCTGCCTGGCCGGGACCCACCTGCTGCAGGTACTGGTTGATGGTAATGTGCGCCATGGGAGCGCCGCCGGACTGGGAGCGCCACCACCGACGCCGCAAGCGGGCCAGCTGGCGTCACTTCCGGCACTCGGTCCGTTTCGGTCCCGGCGCCCCCGGCCTCGCCGCCTGTGCGCAGGTGGTTCCGGAGGGAGAACCCGGGGGCCGGCTCGGCGACGCGCTCGGGCTGAGGGGGCCCCGGGGTGTTTCTGCCGGGCCCCGTCCTCTCAGCTGGGACGCCAGCGGCTCTGATTGTGTGTTTGAGCCCGCCCCGGCTGAGGGGTTTGGGGTCCAGTGGCAAGGACGGCCCCACGGCGAAACTGCTTTTCACTGCGCTGACCCCTCGACTGCCTCCTGTGAAAACGAGGCCGCAGAGGACGCTCGGCGCGCGTCTGGGTCAGGGCCGAGGGGCGCGCGCGCCCGAGCGGGGGGGCAGGGGAGGGACATGGCGCGCGCTCCCAAGGCCTCATAAAGTGCCTCCGCCGCGCGCTCCCGAGCCCTCAGGAGTCGGGGGACGTCTCGGCGCGCGCCCCCCGAGCTCTCGAAGTGGTCCCGAGTCCCGCACGGGGGGCCAAGCCGTCAGTAGGGGGGGGGGCCCCGGAGCGCGCGCCGCGAGCCAGGACGGGGTTCCGGAGCCCTGAGGAGTGGGGCTCCCAATCTCGGGGTGGGGGGGGGGTCCCGGCGCGCGGCCCCGAGCCAGGAGGGGGGCCCTGATCCCTCAGGAAGGCCCTCAGGGGTCCCAGTCCCTCAGGAGGGGTGGTTCCCGGCGCGCAGCCCCGAGCCAGGACGGGGTGTCCGAAGCCCTTAGGAGGGGATCAGACCGCTCGGGGGGGTTCCCGGCGCGCGCCCCTAAGCCCTCCGGAGAAGCCGGGCGCGGCGGCGGTTGGGCTCGGGCACGCGGGCCGGGCGGGGCGGGGCGGGGCGCGCGAGGAGGCCGGGGCGGAGGCCGCGCGGACCGGGGCGGGCGGCGGCGGCTGCGGCTCTCGGGGCGGGGCGCGGCGGTTCCGGCCCAGCCATGGCGGACGAGGCCCCGCGGAAGGGCAGCTTCTCGGCGCTCGTGGGCCGCACCAACGGCCTCACCAAGCCCGCAGCCCTGGCCGCAGCGCCCGCCAAGCCGGGGGGCGCGGGCGGCTCCAAGAAGCTGGTCATCAAGAACTTCCGAGGTGGGTGCGGCGGCCGGGCCGAGGGCCGGGCGACCCTGGCGGGGACCCCGCGAGACCCCGCCCGCCCGGGACGGGGAGGCACCGAGATCCGTGCGGGCCCCCAGCGGGCGCGGGGGCCGGGGCGCGGGCCGGGCGGGCGGGGGTTGGCGACGCAGGGCCCCTGCGGCGCGCCCTGAGCCGCCTGCTGTCCCTCCGCCCCGCAGACAGACCCCGGCTGCCCGACAACTACACGCAGGACACGTGGCGGAAGCTGCACGAGGCGGTGCGGGCCGTGCAGAGCAGCACCTCCATCAGGTACAACCTCGAGGAGCTCTACCAGGTGAGGCGGCGGCCGGGGCTGGGGGCGCCGGTCCTGCCCCGCGTGACGCAGACGCGGCCCGGCGGCCGCTCCGGAGCCTAGCAGGCTCTCGCCCGGGAGCCGGAAAGGCAGGGCGTTTGCCTCCTCCGCAGGCCGGGAGCCGCAGAGGCAACAAGTGGTTTTGTTTATTGCCGTGGTGGAATTTTTGTTTTCAGGCTTAAGCTGCTTAGAACGATATTTAAAGTTATCCCATTACAGAAGAGAAGGAGGTGTGTTTCTGGGAGCCACGTGACTCATTTTGCAAGTATGCAGCAAATTATTATTTCTTTCGTTACATGTAAAACTGATTACTGTGTCACTTCCCAGTGCGGGTTTTTTTTTTCTCTACTGTGTTTTGTGATTAACGATTGCCTTTAAGATAGTCAAACAGATTTTGTAGCGTTTAATTCAAAGTGATGGTGGTCTGTTTCTAAAGTAGCAAATAATGGCCAAAAGTACATTTTGCTGCTTGGAGATTTCATTTACAATCGGACTTTTTTTCTGGCAGCTGTTTTTGTAAGACATTCATTAAGTAGCTAATATCTACATTTTAGGGCACAATGTGTCATACAGTTATTTCTATTAACAGGCTTGAATTAAATCTTTTTCTGGATATGCAAGTGACTGCGTTGTAAAAATTACAAAAAAGTACAAAAAAGAAAACTTAAATCACCTATAATCCTACTGCCCAAAGAAAACTACCGTTAGGCAGTTTGGTGTACATACATCCATTCTTTGTCCTAAGTGTAAGTGGATTATGTTTTCTTACCAGCTTTTTTGAGGTACAATCTGCATATAATATGTACTTCAACAAGTTTTAACAAATGTATACAGTTATGTAACCGGCCCCTCTTAGTAGAATGGTAGAATATTTCTACCACCCCCAAAATTGCCCTGACCACTTTTGCAATGAGTCCTCTCCACTGACTCCCAGCCCTTGGCAATCCCCAAGGGACAAAATATGGTTACATTTTTCCATTTCGAGAACCTCATCTAAATGCAATCATGTATTTCATCGTCTTTTGTATCAGCCTTCTTTCAATTAGGCCAGTGCTTTTGAGATTCCTGCACACACAGTGTGATTGTGGTTTGTTTATTACCGAGTACAATGGGTGTGCCACAATTGTTTTATCTGTTCAGTTAATGGACATTTGGGTGTCCATGTTTTGGGTTGTTTTTTTGTTTTGAGACAGTTTCCCTCTTGTTGCCCAGGCTGGAGTGCAGTGGTGTGATCTCACTCACTGCAACCTCTGCTTCTCAGGTTCAAGCAATTCTCCTGCCTCAGCCTCCCGAAGAGCTGCGATTACAGGCACCTGCCACCACATCTGGCTAATTTTTTGTATTTTTAGTAGAGACAGGGTTTTGCCTGTTGGGCAGGCTGGTCTCAAACTCCCGACTTCAGGTTTGCCTGCCTTGGCTTCCCAAAGTGCTGGGATTACAGGCATGAGCTACTGTGCCCAGCCTTGGGTTGTTTTAAATAAAGCTGCTGTGAACATTTGTGAATAAGCCTTTGTTTGGAAATATATTTTCATTCCTCTCAGGTAAGTTCTGGTTACTTTTATACTGGAGGTAAGATATCAGGGTCATGTGGAAAATGTATGTTTATCTTTGTAGGAAATTCCTTATTTTTCAAAGTGGCTGTCCCTTCTGTGTTTCTCCCAGCAGTGTATGGGAGTTCCAGTTCCAGGCTGCGGCCAGCATGTGGTGTTCTCAGTTTGTAATTTTAGCTGTGCTGGTAGGTGTGTGGTGGAATGTCATTGTGGTTTTAGTTTGCATTTCCCTCTGATGCTAAGCATCCTTGTACTTGCCGTTCTTTGACGAAGTATCTATTTAAATATTTTGCTCATTTTTATTGGGTTGGTTTTCTCGAGTGTATGAGTTTATTATGTATTCTAGATACAGGTCCGATACCAGATTTTCGCCTTGCAAATACTTTCTCTCTAGTCTTGAACTTGTCTTTTGATTCTCTTAACTGTGTCTGTGGAAGAGCAATATTTTTAAGTTTTGAAGTCACATGAATCAGTTTGTTCTTCTATAGATTGTGCTTAATCTAAGGTCACAGAGTTTTATATTTTCTTCCAGACATTGTAGGGTTTCAGGTTTTACATTTAGTTCTCTGATCTATGTAGGGTGAATTTTTGTATATATTGTGAAATATAAATCTAGCGTCAGGGCCGGGCCTGGTGGCTCACACCTGTAATCCTAGCACTTTGGGAGGCCAAGGCAGATGGATCACCTGAGGTCAGGAGTTCAAGGTCAGGCCAACATGGTGTCTACTAAAAATACAAAAAAAATAGCCGGGCGTGGTGTCAGGCACCTGTAATCCCAGCTACTTTGGAGGCTCAGGCTGGAGAATCACTTGAACCTTGGAGTTGGAGATTGCATTGAACGGAGATTATGCCACTGCACTCCAGCCTGAGCAACAGAGTGAGACTGCATCTCAAAAAAAAAACAAACAAAAAAAAAAACTCTAGAGTCACTGTTTTTCCTGTAAATGTGGAGTCGTTCAGCCTCTTTTCCCCTACTGATCTGCCTTTGCCCCTTTGTCAAAAATCATGTAGGAATAGGTGGAGTGACTTGTGAAATCAGGTTGTGCTGGTCCTCCACCTTCATATGTTTGCACAGGTTTTTGGCTATTCTTGGTCCCTTGTGTTTCCATATGAATTTTAGAATCAGCCAATTTCTATTAAAAAGTGTGCTAAGATTTTGATTGACAGTATATAGAATCTATAGATCAACGTGGGAGAGTTAATTTCTTAACAATATTGAGAGGCTGGGCACAGTGACTCATCCCGGCATTTTCAGAGGCCAAGGTGGCCTGATCACTTGAGCCCAGGAGTTGGAGACCAGCCTGGGCAACATGGTGAAACCCCATCTCTACAAAAAATTTAAAAATTAGCCCAGTGGGGTGATGCACACCTATGGTTCCAGCTACTCAACTCAGGGCCCCCACACCGCAGCCTAGAAGCTCTCCATGCAGGAAGCTGAGCAGTTGGGGCCTGTTTGCCTCTCATCCTTCTGAGATTCACTCTTTCCTAGCTCAGTACCCAGTGCTTCAAAACCTGTTGCTTTGTATATTTTATCTGATTTTTCTGGTTATTTCAGGCAGAAAGTTAATATAGTTCTTTTACTGTGTCTTGACCAGAAACAAGAGTCCCACCTGAACCCTCATAGGTCTTTGGTTTAATAAAATGTGCTATTTGCAGCTAAGACATCTTACTACTATTTTCCTGGAGATTTGGCTGTCATCTGCTGCCTCATTGTTTTTACTTAAAACGGTGGAATTACTTTGCAACACCTTGTACGCAGTGATAGATCTCATAAAACAATCACTGTAGATATTATGAACAATGTTTGTAGGTGCCTTGGGTGTCTGTCTTGAAACCCTGAGAACTAGGAATGCTAACTCCAAAATGACAGTCACTGGTTCCTCCTGGGTTGAAACATCGCAAACTCTAAGGGCATCTCTGAAGGTGCTGCCCCACCAGGGGACATGTGGAATCAATTGACTCACTCACCTGTGAGCACGTGCAGCTGGTCATCTCTCCACACACAGGTGGGCTTCTGGCCGCTCACAGAAGTCTGAAGCATGGGCTGCCTCAGGTGTATTGGAAGCAAGTGGGGTAGAAATGGTAAGAAAAGTAAATGTGAAATTACTGATCTCTAATCAAGCAGGCAGTACATTTGACTTGGTGTTTCAAAATAAAATCTAAGTTTTTGTATAGGTGGTGTGATGTATACCTTGCCAAAGAATCTTGCGTGAAAGTACCAATTCTCACCCACCCAAGTTGGCAAGGTTTGGTTTAGTGTTTGGTTTTTGTTTTGCTCAGTCTTCCTCTAAACACCTCAGGAGGCCTGTTGATTACACTGTGTGGGCCTCAGCTGGCCTGTTGTTTCTGTTTGTTAGTTATTTTCTTTTTGTCATTTTCCTTCTATAATGTGTAGAGGAGTATGTTGTGAAGGCATAAATGTTTTTCCTTTAAAGGCCTGAATTTAGGTCTGTAATAACTAACTCCCTGAATAAAGTGGATCTTCTGTGTCTTGTGTCTGTGTTTTAGTCCTACTTGTAGCTGAATGAGACAACAGAAAACTGAATACTGCATTTCTAGAAAGGCTGTGTATTGATTTAGGACTGGTTTTTTTTTGTTTGTTTGTTTTTTGCACAAAAACAAATGTCTCAGGCCTTTAAAAAAAAAAGAGAGAGGCGTGGCCTCCTGATGTTGTCCAGGCTGCATGGGAACTCTTAGACTCAAGCAGTCCTCCTGCCTTGGCCTCCCAAAGTGCTGGGATTACAGGCGTGAGCCACTGTACCCAGCTGACATACAAGTTCTGCGGAAAGCCAGGCTGTCTTTCTTGAGTCACACAGTAGTTGTCTCCGCGACATCTTGATACTAGGTGATAATGGTCATTGAAGGGGAGTGGTTAGTCCTTTGTATGTGGTGGCATCCTTCCCTCACACCCAAGCTACAGACCCAGCGTAGGAATGGAACCTCCATAGCTACACAGGTCTCATCCCGTGGCTGTGAAGGTCACTATGTGGCTGTGGAGGTTGTGTCCCGTGTGGTTGTGAAGGTCTTATCCTGTGTGGTTGTGGAGGTCTCTGTGTGACTACGGGGGTTGCATTCCATGTGGCTGTGGAGGTCACCCCCCACAGCTCCGTGGACTTCCTTGTTCTGTCTTCCACACCTGAGAGCAGGGATTGCCCTTGTCCGCAGGGAGCAGTTTGTTTAAGTAGCACTGAGTTCACTCCGGGCAGTGCTTTGACACTATAAATAGATGGGCATATTGAGCTAATAAGACAATCATTTGATGAACCTGTTGGTTAGGAAGTAGCTATGATGTGAGGAGAGACAGTGTTGGGTGAAGATACACACAAATTCTCACTTGGCTGTTTATACAAGGAAAGCATCTTGATACTAATAGGAGTAGAATGTAAATGATGCTCCTCCACCTCCGATCATTGGATTACATTCACTTTCTCTGGGTTGAATCTTTAAAATTCCGGTGGCCTGAGGGCACCAACATGAAGCACACAGTAACATCTGATTAGTTGCTTTACACCTCCAGAAAGGTGTTGCTAAATCTCATTGAGGCTCAAAAATTCATTTCGGGGAGGGGTGACTCCTATGTTGTGCTGCTTCTATAAGAGCACAAAAAAGTCTTCCAGCATTCCAACCAGCAAGGAGTTGGCAGGACGGAGAGAAACAAAGGCTGTCGCCTTTCCAGTGATGAGTGCCTGTAACATGAAGCTGGCAGTCCTGACTCAGCACCTACAGCAAACCCGGGTTACCCAGGGCTTGCTACTTATTTTGAGAGATTCCTAAATTCTTAATTTTAAAAACAAAATAAGTTGCATTATGACTCATATAAATAGTAAATGTGTACCAAATAGGACACATAGGAGGAAGAGTGGGTTATAAAACATTCAGCAATGATATGCCACACCAGGAAAAGATGGTTTTAAGGATATTGGTTCTTAGTTTAGGAATTAAAACATCCAGAAAATGGTCCTACGTTACTGTTTATGAAGGATATGCACCACTAAGCTTATCTTGACTTGTGCTGAAGAAAATACATTTTCTTCATGTGTTATATAAAAAACTTACTTTGTAGTAATTACGTTTGTGGGATCCACTAAGGTTTAACTACTGGAGCAAAACCTTTGTCATGAAGTTCTCCTGGTTGTTTGAGGAGACAAGAGGTGGCAGATCTTTGACCAAATTATAAAGACTTGGAATCCAAAGGGATGGAATTGAAGAGTTTGAGAAAGGAATTAAAAGAAATACAGAATGTGGGTAGGAATTCCTTATGTCTATAGTAAGACAAAATGTAGGGGGAAAGTTTGTATTTCTTTGTTATGCGGATATTAAGCTTGTTAGAAAACAGGATTATAATTATTCCACATTCTCTTTTGATCTTTGTAAATATGCATGTATTTTATATGGTAGTAATTACTGTATTTATTTAACGTTGGTTAATACAATATGTAGCAGCTCTCCTATAATATTGGAATTATTAATACTTGTAAGTATTAGTAAAATGAATAGCTTTATAACTTTACCTTTTTTCCTAGAGGACTATTGTATTCATATTACATTCAGATTATTTATCTAAAGTGTTTTTATTCTGTATATCCCCACATTTTTTGAACCCCGCATTGGTTCAAAACTTGCTAGTAGAAAAACCACATTTCTGTTTATAGTATTTCATATTTGAATTGAATGAGATTAAGGTTTTGTACATGAGATTTGAAAGGAAATTTTATTAGAACTAGTGAGAATGTACAAGCACTGTTTCTTTGAGGTGGGTAGAAATATTGTAAGAAAAATTTTTCTGCCTCAACAAATGGTTTCGGCTGGGCACAGTGGCTCACACCTATAATCTCAACACTTTGGGAGGTTAAGGAGGGTGGATCACCTGAGATCAAGAGTTGGAGACCAGGCCAGCTAACAGGGCGAAACCCTATCTCTACTAAAAATACAAAAATTAGTGGGGCGTGGTGGCGCATGCCTGTAATCCCAGCTACTCGAGAGGCTGAGGCAGGAGAATTGCTTGAACCTGGGAGGCAGAGGTTGCAGTGAGCGGAGATTGTGACATTGCTCTCCAGCCTGGGCCACAGAGCAAGACTCCATCTCAAAAAAGAAAAAAAAATGATTTCTTCTTGTATTGGGGATGTTCACAGAAAAAAAAAAAAGTTTCTTAAGACAAAACTGAAGTGAATTACACATCTATCCTGCAGAAAAATAAATAGGAAACACTACAATCTGGCCTGAGTCACCCAGAACAAAGCTCAGTATGGACGGAGTCACTGCCCTGGGGAGAGTGAAGGGAACTGGAGCCCCATCCTGTTGTTCTCCTTCCTAATGAGAAGGTGGTCACTGAGGGAAAAGATATTCTTGGTTCACTAGCCCTGATTTCACTTTGTAATCATCAAGGTGAACTTAAACACATGCATGCTCCAGTGACCCCCACCTTAGGCCGAGGAATCAGAGCACCCAGAAACAGGCCTGTGAGGATGAAACCTGTTCAGAAGTCCCCGGATGCTCAGAAGTGGTGCAGGCCAACTAGCCGCCTGGGGCCCGAGGTGCCATGTGCCCACATTAACTGTTTTACACCCATGCCAACTGTGACTTTTTCCAATGAGAAGTGCCCTAAACTTAGCCATAATAAATAATATATTTGTAGATTCTGTAAGTACTGGGGTGGGTGGGGTGCCTTTTTGTTATGATTACAGCTATATAAATAATTGGGTTTTTTAAAGAACCAATCTGTTATTCATACTGAGGTATTTATGTGCCCCTTTTGTTTTCAGGCTGTGGAAAATCTTTGTTCACATAAAGTCTCCCCCATGCTCTACAAGCAGCTGCGTCAGGCCTGTGAAGACCACGTCCAGGCACAGATCCTTCCGTTTAGAGAATATCCTTTTTTCGGTTCAAAAAGTTTCTGTTCATTATCTAAGTCTTTTAAAACTGAACATTATGATAAATAACTAATGAGTATCCTTAATATTAGAACAAAAGCTTCAAAGTGCTCTTTTATTTCATGACTCAATATGGTAAGTTTTTAAGCAAAATTTGCCATTTAAAGTATTTTGTTGATCTGAATTAAAGGGAAACCATGTCTACTTAATGGATATGATTGAAGTATTTAGGAAAAGTTCTGAAAAATGTCTTAAAGTTTGAGTATCCTTTATTCTAATAAATACCATCTTCATTAGTTTTCTGTGATGTGTGACAAATTCCCATCTACTTGGTGACGTGGAGACACCTGCTTATCAGCTCATGGTCGTGTCTCTTAGAAGGCTGGGCAGGACTCAGTGGATTCTGTGCTCGGATTCTCATGGACAGAGTCAAGGTGACAGCCAGGCTGGGGCTTCACCTGAGGTGAGGTCCTTCGCTAGCATGGGCAGGCAGTTGGCGGAAGCCAGTTCCTGTGGCTGTGGGACTGAGGGCCCTGCTTTCCTTCCTGTGTTACGTGGGGTCACGTGCAGCTCCTTGCCTCTCTTTTCACAGCACAACTCTTTTTTGCTTCTAGACTTGCAGGAGAATCTGCCTCTCTGGCTTGCTGAGATAGGGCCTTATATGATGTAACCTGTAACCGAGTCAATGAATGATGACCCTTCGTATCCACAGCCTCATCCACAGTTGCACGTGAGGCATCATCCACGTAGGGACAGGGCAGGGGCATCTCGGGATTCTGCTGCCACACCAGCTGTGACTCAGTCGTCTGCAGGGGAGTCTCTGGGCTCTGTGGCATCCTATAGAAAATCCTGGCCGGGCATGGTGGCTCAAGCCTGTAATCCCAGCACTGTGGGAGGCCGAGGCGGTTGGATCACGAGGTCAAGAGATCGAGACCATCCTGGTCAACATGGTGAAACCCTGTCTCTACTAAAAATACAAAAAATTAGCTGGGCATGGTGGCGTGTGCCTGCAATCCCAGCGACTCAGGAGGCTGGGGCAGGAGAATTGCCTGAACCCGGGAGGCGGAGGTTGCGGTGAGCCGAGATCGCACCATTGCACTCCAGCCTGGGTAACAAGAGCGAAACTCCGTCTCAAAAAAAAAAAAAAGAGAGAAAATCCTTTAATCTGGACTCAGTCTCATTCCCCAGCCTCCTCCCATTACTACAGCTATCCATGTGTTTCATTGGGTAGGAATTAGAAAGTAGAGTTTATAGTTGCAGAAAGTCTACTTGTGATTGGAGTTTTCTAGGCCTCCATTTCTTTATATGTAAAATTAAGTAGTTGGTATTTGCGTCTGGTTCAAGGAAACTTCTGCTCCCCCATGTCCCTGATCTTAGGAAACTAAACCATCTGAGTTCCTTGGAAGGACCCTCGGGGAAGCTGCAGCCGTTGGTGTTGCTGATGTTGTAGCACATGGCAGGGAAGCTGAAATGCAGGGTGAGAGGTCTCTGTTTAGACAGTCTCCACAGTGCTCCCCACAGATGGTGAGTGAAGTCAGCTTCAGTTCTTTTGTGCTGGCTTCTGTAAATACACCTCTGCAGTGTTTTCCAGCAAAGCCCTTTCCTAAAGATCATGAGGTTGTTCAAGAGATCAGTGACCACACACAACCTTCTGGAACCTGGCCAAAGTGCATCTTATCTCAGGAGGCACCTGTGAGGGTGCACAGAAGCAGGACCCGCCCCAGGGCCACAGCTCAGCAGTGCGCTTCCAGGAACCCATGTTCAAGATGCTTCCATCCAAAAAGTGGCCTGACTCCTAGGCTTGGGGGAAGTCTTTAGCAGATGCCCAAGCCTTCTCCCAAGGACTTAGGCATCGGTGAGGGTCAGTAGGCAATAATTGTTCCTACTCTAGCTGCTATCCCAGTTTACTTGAAAACTGCCATTTGATTACCTGATCAAATTATCCTTCTGCCAGTTACTCCTACCCTGTGGGTTGTCATCAGTTCACTCACCGCACAAGCGCTTGCTTTCTGCCTATGGCACTGGCACCACAAAATGGGATGTGACCACCATGCCTGATTTCTACCCTCCAAGAAGTAACAGGCCTATGGGAGAGGCGGGAGAATTATTATGTTTTCCTGGTGCGATGGCAAAACCATGATTACAAAAATTGTTTAGTTCATTAAAGGCCAAAGAAGAAACACTACCATATCAAATGGCCTTTTTTTTTTTTTTTGAGACGGAGTTTCGCTCTTGTTGCCCAGGCTGGAGTGCAATGGCGCAATCTCGGCTCACGGCAACCTCCGCCTCCTGGGTTCAGGCAATTCTGCCTCAGCCTCCTGAGTAGCTGGGATTACAGGCATGCGCCACCATGCCCAGCTGATTTTTTGTATTTTTAGTAGAGACGGGGTTTCGCTATGTTGACCAGGATGGTCTCGATCTCTTGACCTCGTGATCCACCCGCCTGGACCTCCCAACAAATGGCCTTATTACTCATGAGACATCTTGAGTTGAGAACTGTTGAGTCAGGCCAGCAATGGTGGCATGTGACACATCTGGGGCAGAGCCTCCCGGAGCAGATGCCCTTGAAGGGTGGGGAGTGTCCGCCCACCTGTAGATGCGGCACTGATGCAGAGCACGGAGGGTGCTTTGGAAATCCCCAGCGGCACAACTAGAACTCCAGAGAGCTGGCGGCCCTTAGGCTGTGATGCTGAGGTGGAGATTGAATTAGAATCTTTGTGGATACTGTCAAGGAGTTGGGGATATTCACCCAGCATCCTTACAGGTTTTGAAGCAAGAAACCAGAATTAGATTGTTCATGGAGGTCACTCTGGCAGAATGATAAGTTTACATAGAAACCAGCACACCACAGCCTTTCATTGGGTTGGCACATGTTTTTAAGTATCGGTCATGTGCTGGGTACAATACCAGGTCCTGGGAAAATAAATTTGAGTAGAATGGGATTCTGGCCCTTTGGAGCTTAAAGCCGAATGGGGATGGCAGAAGCATCAAGATAAGCATTTCCGAGTGCTGTGATAAGGGTTTTCAAAGGTTCAGATAAGCTCCTGGGACCTAAAGAAAGAGTAGCCAGCCCACCTGCATAAGGGAGTGCTGCAGGGGTGAAGCGATGTCTGAGCTGTGTCCTGAAGGGTGGATGAGGAGGTGGCACAGGCCAGTGGCACAATCACTGGCTCTGAGGAAGCGTACTGGGCACAAGAGCCAGGTGCACTGCTGGACGTGGGAGAGTTGGCCGCTGACAGGATCCCTAAAGGGGAAAAGGAGAGGAAGGCGGATGCTGAATTATGGAGGGCCTTTGTTGAACCGAGAAGTCAGGGTTTTAACTGAAGATGGAGACTCATCTGAGGTATTCAGGCACAGAGTGTTGGTTATGTTTGTAAGAAGTTGGTGTGCCTGTGTGTGTCTTTGTGGTGTGAAGGGTCAGTTGACTGACTGGGCAGCAAAACCATGGAGTTGGAATGGCAGCATCCTGCCAGAAAACCTCTCATGGTTTAGAGGGAAGGGATCCGACTGGTGTGGAAGGATGAACCAGACAAGGTTTGAGGCAGGGAGCATCTGTCTTGGTCACATTGGTTTGAAGGAGGTGAGGAGGCACTGGGGTAGAGGTGCTGATGTGCGTTTGGGACTGTAGACACAGATCCGGTGATCACAGACACAGATGAAACTGGCCAGGAAAAATGAGCAGAGTGGCCAGATGCAGTGGCTCATGCTTCTGATCTCAGCACTGCATTTTGGGAGGCCAAGGTGGGGGAATCACTTGAGCCCAGGAGTTCGAGACCCGCCTAGACAATAATGAGCCAGGCGTGGTGGTGCATACTTGTGGTTCCAGCTACTCTGGAGGCTGAGGTTGGAGGATTGCTTGAGCCCAGGAGGTCGACGCTGCAGTGAGCCGAGATTGTGCCACTGCACTCCAGCCTGGGCAACAGGGAAATACCCTCATCTCTAAAAAGAAAAAAGTGAGCAGAGCCATCAGTGGAGGTGGCCAAGGGCTGGTGTCAGGGAGGTGAGAGGAGAACCTGGAGGGTCATCTCGTGGGAATCGAGGGGCAAGTTTAACATGGCAACCGGCGTAGTGGCTGGTGAGTAGAGTCTGAAGGGATGATGAGACCAGAGAGTGGTGGTTACCATGATGAAGGCTTTCTGCTGCATGCGTACATTAACCCAGTAAACATGGGTGAGTGTTTATGTCCAGCTCCACACTGTGTGTTGGGAACCAGGGACAGGAATGACTGGCATGGGTCTCGCCCTCAAAGAGCTTCTTTTTGCTGGAAGAGAGTTGTGACCCAGCCCAGTCTCATATGGCGAAGTGTTCATGTGATGGCAGATGCTCAGATACCCACGTGGCAGGGCGTATTCAAGGTCTGCATATTCAGATTTCTTTAAGCCTCTGGGATATTTCAGTACTTTACGTAACTTTATAAGATTTAAGTAATGTTAGATGCTGATTATATTTTAATCGTATGCTGATGTTAGAGTATAGATGAAACCCATCAGATGCACAGGCAGAAAAAGGGCTTTTGTGGAATTGAGTCCTTCACTCGCGTCTTTGTTCACCATGTCCATTTTCTTGTCTCAGGTGTTTGATAAATTCTGCACTTAGTTGTCCCTTTCAAAATAGGTACCTGTTCTTGGTGCTGTCCCTTCCCCAAAATAAAACCCGTTCGTACCCACACACTCGCACACTCAGTGAGCCACAGGTAGCTGTTGTGGCTCATCCCATATCACATGGTGTGGGACCACGTGCCACCCAGCCAGGCTGCATGGGCACCGGGAGCTCTTCGAAAATGTCAAGCCAGCTGTCTGCAGAATCTAACCTGTAGATAACAATAGATGAAACTCACATTTTCCTTCCCCTGGTTCACTTTGACAGCATTGCAGCTCTGGTCAGCTACAGAATGCCAGGCAGTGGTGGACATCACAAGAGCAGCGTGATCAGTGGAAGGGAAGGGCATGGGAGTGAGCAGCGGAGCCTTGGTTGTTGGGGAAGTCGCGAAGCTCCAGTTTCCTCTGCGAGCATGCCTGTATGATCCACACTGACGACAGCAGGCTTTGTCTTTCCTTAGAAAGACCTCATGCCTGTTCTCCCTTGACCAGATACCGTGTTCACAGCACTTGCTGGCAGTAGGCCAAGCTCTGCACATTCATGAATTGCTTTCTGTCTCACAATACCCTGAGCTGTAGGTACCTTTGTGGACCCTATTTTCTAGATGAAGAAACGAAAGCCCAGGAGAACCCTGTTAGTGCTCAGCCAGATCAGAGGGGACAAAACAGCACCCTTGCCTTCATGGGCTGTGTAGACGAACGAGGGTCGGCGTAGGCCTGTCCTCTTTTGGCCTGTCTGTGGACAGAGGCAGCAGATGAGTCATTCTTCCCTGGAACTGGCAGAAGCAGGATAACCAGGAGTAGAAAATGTTTGTATCCCTCTTGTGCCCCAACAGAAGCACTGTCTTTTTTGCTTTCTTTTTAATTATAGATACAATGGGTAGGTTTTTTTTAATGGTGTAAGCATTTCTGCTATTGGATTTTGTTTGCTGTTTGAAAACCTGCCTAACTCATCTCAGTAGGCTGTATAAATCTTTTAGCTAAGATTGGCCCTTCTCTGAAACCCATTTCAAGAATACGCTGTTGACAGACTCTCACTGTGTCTATATGTCTCACATCCTGGAATTGCACATTATGGCTATTTGTTATATCCTAGGATTTGGAATTGATTTTGATGTTTAGAAGACCGGCGCTTACTTAGTAAATGCCACACTGTGATTTTAGCTTACCATTTTGTATTTTTTTCTGTGGGAAATAGCAAAAAGTTACTGATTGAGGATCTATATTGATTTTACAGAGCTATTTTAGAGAAAGTATTTCTCATTTAGTGCACATCTTACGTTGGTGAACATCTTATGTTGGACCTTTCCATCGTAACAAGATACTGCCCCAGGTGGAACTCTGATCTTCCCAACACCTGAGCTGCCCAGTGGTGTCAGATTGGCGTCAGTTTAACCCCATTAAGTTTAAAGGGTCTGTGCAGCCTCAACCTGAAAGAAAGCTCCACCTTTGGCTGGTGTGGCCTACCTGCCAGCAGAGGCTTACTGGAGGGTCCAAGCCGCAGCTCTTGTTCAGCTTCTGGAGTCAGAGCTGCAGGATGGCTGTTGGGATTCCTTGAAGCCTGTCCAATGTACTTATGATGGATTTTTTGTTTTGTTTTGTTTTGTTTTTCCAGACTGTTTCTGTAGCTTCCTAATGTAATGAGCCATTATAATTTTGCACAATTTAAAAAGAGTTCTTCCAGAGGAACCTGTTAACCATTCAACCATTAGGTCTTTGCTTTAACTGTCTGCTTTTAATTTTCTGGCAGTGCTTCCTGAGAATTCAGCAAAGCCCCAAGAGAAAATAGAGTCAGCTGTCTTAGCCAGGCTCCTGTAGCTGAGGTCGCAGCACTTCCTGGTGTGACGAGGATGCAGACCCCCTGGGAGCCCCTTGGGCTTCCTCAGCACCCTTTATTCCTCCTCAGGTTCTGTCTGGCACCCAGCCCTCCCTGCCACTCTTTCCTTGTCAGGCCACTCTTTGCCACCCTGAGACTCCAGCCCCTGTCTGATTTGTGCCTCCTACTTGACTGATGCGTTTTCCTCCTTTCTGTGTGCTGAGGATGTTGTCACCACCTTATGTCGGCTCTGAGTGTGTAGTGTCTTGCGCACAGCAGAAACAGACCTAGAGAAGTCCCTTGGCTTGGCCAGTATTGTGTTGCTGACAGGCGGTGGATCAAGAAGAGTTAAACTAAGAAGTCCGTGTTATGTCCACTGTCAGCAGCCATTTTGCTCATCTGTACGAAGGGAACAATGCCTGCACCACAAGGTTGGGGAGACTCAGTGAGAGCGGATGTGAAGAGTGTTAAGTAAACCATCAGACAGTTTATAGCCATTTATGATTCTCAGCTCTGCGTGAACCTGAGGGATGCCAGGCCACTTGCTCTAGGAGCCCAGATTTTGGTTTCTTTGTCCTAAACTACTTTTTGGGGCTTTTCCTAAAAATACACATTCTAAGAGTCAAGGTAAGAGTGTTCCTAATTTTGGTATCTGGATGAGAGTTCATGTCAGTTTACATTGAGGCTGGAAGTTGAACCTGAGCCATTTTCCTGTCCGGCTGCACTTTGCCCTAACAGGCTGGGCACAGTGGCTCACACCTGTAATCCTAGCACTTTGGAAGGCTTAGACAGAGGATTGCTTAAGACCGTGCGTTTAAGACCGGCCTAGGAATATGATGAGATGCTGTCTATTTAAAACACAACCTTTTTTTTATTTTTAAAAAATGGTCCTAGTGGCCGACACATACCAGGCCAGTCACCATGTCCAGGAGCCCCTCCCCCCTTGGGATTATGTTCAGTTTTTGCACTTTGTGAAGCGGGGCCTTTTGTCTGGCCATCCAGCCCCAAGGCACTTAATGGCCTGGGTGTGTTTCTGCTGGCAGGGACTTGAAAGCGTCTGGTAGTGAAGGAAGCAGAATATGAAGGGAGGCTGGAGAGGGAGCGGGAGGGGCAGGTGCGGCCACGGGGAAGGGAGGCTAGAGAGGGAGCAG